TCTGGAAAGTCCTCCCCTGCTGCAAACTCAGGATTGTTTTCCAGAACACTGTCAAGCCGGCAACGACAAACCGTGGTCTGCCGATTCACACTGCCTACATCACTGTGCCGCTTGGCTTCCAGTTGGTCACTTTCATCTTGGTGCCCTCACTTGTGTCTCTGGGATTTGGATCAACATCCACAACTGATTTATGAGGGCTATTATTGGTATCTAGTGGTGGGCTGGTTGGTGCAGGGGACATTAACCATAGGCACAAGAAAGTGAAACCACTCACTACTACGCAAAAAAGGTAGATCTGCACCAGCCACTTCCAGCTTAGGAAGTATGCATTGGCCCAGATTCCGGAGCTAAAGAAAAGGTACCCCGATTGCCCTCACATGGATTTGGTGAGCAAGAGAAGGCGGCTCAATCCAAGCCCTCCTCATGAAGGCCAGTGACTATAGTGTGAAGATCCAAGCCACTGGTTTATATATTATAGAAAGTGTTTGTTGGTTTCAAGCTTCAAAGCAGTTGTTTCAAAACAGGTTCCCAAACACATTGCCCCTGCAAGGCCGTCCTCCTATGCCAGTGCTTCCGGTCAAGTCCTCTCAAGAGTCTCAACATGGTTGTGATTCTGGCACATCCTCCAAGTTGAATGCTACAGGACATTTGGGCCCAAATATAATGACACTGTTGCTGGTTAAAACCTGGAGCCCAACAGCCATGACAGGAAATAATCCACATGTTTGAACTGGTGCTTCAAAAGTTGTTGTCTTGTCCTGAAGGAGGGATACCTGAAGAAGAACATCGTGATCAACCATCCCAGTGTACAGTTGTGAGCTGCGTGAAGCCTGATCAACCTCCTGTCCTCTTCCCACCAACCATGACAAGAATGGTATCTTGGTGCAGGAACACTCAACAGATTGTCCAATGTTTTGGTGAACAACTTGTACCATGATTTTAATGTTTATTTTCAACCTCAAGATGGCATGGTTCTGTTGCTGTGGGCCTTTCCAAACCTTCCAACACTACTGCATCAGGAAGAGATGGATTTTGTGATCGATGCAAACGATGGAGCAGAAGCTTATGCAGCACTAACTTTGAGACGGGTCCCTCGCTTTATTCTAACTTTTGGTTTCCCTATGTTTCCCTCAACCGGCAGCAGGAGCTCTGACACACACCATACAAAGAGTTCATTATAGTTGTTTTTTGTTGTAAACTTGAATTGAGCCACCCCTCACTTTCAGTTTTGGTTTGGTCTGGAGTTTTTACTCAGGTTCACCAAATGATCCTTGATGACGACAAATGCGGGACCAATCCAGTGCTTACGCTGGACAAAATTTTTGAATTGGTGCGAGTGTCTGCAGCTGTCGCTAAGATTAGTCAGCTGACAGCCCCACCTTGGAAACCATGACCATGCAAAGAAACCTGTAAGCAATAGAACATAGAGATGGTAATGGAATAATAGAACATGATTAGGAATGACATTTTGTTGCTTCAAACGTCTTGCGACAGGTCATGCAACTGTTGGGAAATGCTAGGTGCGCAAGCAAAGCTTTGTGAAACAAGTGGGCTGGGGTTGGGCCTGCTGTGATGAAATGAGTTGGTTAAACCAATGGATTTAAATGCAGTCTTGGATTGGATCTCTTATTCTTTGGCTGGCGGTTTGCTGTCTGGAACTTTTGGATTGCAGTTTCTACTCCTTCATTTCCTCTTTCTTTTGTCCATATCGGGGCATTGTCAAACAAGTTATGACTGCCACCCCTTGTGTTCTCAGGTTTTTCTACCAGCGATATCTCTACGTTCCCTGGCAGCATTAGCGAATGCTGGCGTGCTATTGAATTACCACTGGATTCAGCAAGTGATATCTTAATTGAATTCCTTATTGGAAATTTGCAAGGGTTTTGGCTCTAATGGCTGGGAGGTCTAGATCTAGGTCTCCCCGGTTTGACCCGGTAGCACTTGACTCCGATGATGGTGAATCTTCGGAAAGTAAAAGTGATGAGTGTGGTAGTGATGAGAGTAGCTCTGCTGAATCTGCCGCTGCTACCACATCGGCATCCACTGAGAGTTCTGACATACTCGGCAGAGCTCAAATGACTGTGATCCTCGGTTCAAAATCTTGGGCAGATGATCGCAGTGTTGGACAAACACTAGTTAAACACTTGGAATGAAACTCATTTTCCATTTCCCAAGTCTTGAGTTTCTAAAGGTGTCCATGTGGTTGTTCCTTTTCACATTCTTGTTCAGCCACCTAAGGACTCCAGACTTGAGGCCCCATGTGCAGCTTTCTGCCGTACAACGAGGTCATGTCTCTGGCTGGGGTCTTGCTATGGCAACCAGGGGTGGACACTTTGCTTGCTGTAAGTCACTGGGGGCATGAACATGATAGCTGGTGATGATGGGCTAAACTAAATATGGCCTATTCACTGATTGCGTTTCAACAGCCTTGAAAGTGGCAACTTTGATTGGGTGTTTCTACTTGGATTTCAGATTTGTTTGGACAGCCACTCAGGAATTACAGACTTCCTAGCTGCCCTGAACACACCGCTGTCGTTGATGTCAGATTGAAACTTGGTTTGCAGGTTTTTTTCTGTCCACACTAAGTGTCCACATGCTCTTTGGCCGTTGACTTGTTATTTGCTGTTATTTGCGCTGGACATGATTTCAAGGTACTGGAGCGAGTGGATCTTGGTGGGCATTGAAGGAGCTTACTGGGGACCGGGCCAATTTGGTTTGTCATACTGAATGTGCACATGGGTGCCTGAAGTTCCTTGTGGCCAACACCAATGCAAGGCTGAACCTTTGCCATGCATAGTTCCACTTGGTTTCCACCTAGTACATGATGGTTGAGCAAAGACAAGATGTGTCAGGTTTTTTGCTTGAAGATGACAGTATGTTTTTCAACTTGTTTCAGCCACAGCAGTTTAGGGTCCTTCTATTCCTAACAAGTGAGGATGTACACAAACATGTTGAAGCGAGACCGTTCCAGCTTGCCACGTGCTATTGGTTGCTACGATTGCGGGTTCCCATGCCAGCCATTTTCTCTCCTCCACAACAACAGTTCTTTGATGGGGGAGGCTGAAGTTGAAGTATTTCGAGAAGCTATGCGTACGATATATAAATGTGAGCCTTTGGTGAGTGTGCTTGAGAATGTGGTTGGTATCCTGCGGTGCTGGAGTTCAGTTGAGAAATATCTGAACCGGCAGCGGGCATACCTCTACTGTCGCCTGTTGATTGACCCTTGCAAATTGGGGGAATGCGTGAGTCGCCGAAGGGTTTACATTTTGCTGATTCACAAGTTCCTTGCAGAGCTGAACCAAAGTCACACTGTTTTGTATGTTTTTTGTGTTGTTATAGTTAGTTTGTTTTAATTCCTTTTGGAGAAGACTTTGATTTTCAACCTCCGACATTGGTGAGTTTGAACTAGTCCTGGGATCATGCATAGTGTGTCATAGTCTTCAGCCCAGGTCGGTGCTCAAGGGCAACATTTTGAGCAATGAGAACCTGGAAGATCCTGCCAAGATTGTGTACCGGAGGCTGCAGGGTTTTGCTGTGCCTGCCCCGACTCTTAGATTTGTCTTTCAAAATGTGTGTAATGTAAGACAATTTTTAGGGGAGAGAGGTGATGTATGTTTTTTGGCTGGTTTTCCTGTGACATGGTTTACATCGTTTTCAAAGTGATTCTAAGGGCTGACCTGCTCTTTCCGAACGATCACCCGATTGTCTTGGAGGACATTGAGAGGTTGAAACAAACCCGCCTGGTATCCAGCCAAAACATCCCAATCTATGATTTGGATTGGGAATCTGAACCTGAACAAGAAAATCCCAAATGGTTGAAACAGCATTGGAAGATGATGCGTGAATTGAAGGCCCCGAGTTTAAAGAAACTAGGTTTCCAAGTATGACTTTTAACTCATGGGGTGATTGTTTCCAATCTAAACCATTATTTTTGTTGTGGGGCTCTTGGTATCTAGATTCCCTGAAGGTGCAGCCCCGACAATTGATTCCTCTGACTGCAAGCCATCCTGTGGTTCATTCTCAGAGGGTTCAACACGCCCTGGACATCTTCAACACTGCTGGATATTTTGGGAACAAGTTCATCAACACCAGCCAGAGCATATCTCGAATGGTTTCTGGGCGTGATGGTATGATCCCCTGCATTACACCCAGCGGGGCTTTCTTCTCTATGGCACAAATGCGGTATCTGACAGGCCTGGCCTGTAAAAAACATGTTTGACACCCTGTCCTGGTTGGATTCTTTTGGGTTGAATTATTAAATTATATTAGGTTCTGATCTTCGCTGACTTTAGCCCTTCTCAGGCATCGAGAAATTGCTATGCCAGGGCTTTCCAGTCCATGCATTGAGACTTGCACATCTCACCAATGCAGTTTCTTGACAAAAGTTAGCCACTGCAGCCTTTCACCTTTCCCCAATCCTCACTGGGACAAAATATGATAACTATGAGAAACCCAAGTTTGTCTTCACCAGCTCCAGTTTCAAACAATTACTGCATGCAATCATTCGAATGAAATTCAGTATGAGGAAATCCACAGCCTGGCTGGCAATTCCTACCACGTGAAAGCAGTGGCAGCAGCGTACACATGTGCCCTTGCCATGTGCGATGTGAACAAGTTCAATGCTGAAATGGACAAACGTTTGAGGAATTAGGGCAAAAAGGTGAAAGCCAGGTTGCTGATCATTATGTTCGATCAACGTTAATGGGCACATGATAGAATCTCAGCATTCAGCACCGGTCAGTCGATGAACTCCATGAGATCTGTAATATTCTGTAATCCTTAGACGTTGCAGTTTCCCCCACCACCGATCAGGGAGGGCATCACCGCAGTCATTGTAGGTCAGTGCTCTTGATATTCCTGTAAAAACAGTTTCACACATGAGTATGGTCCGGTTGCCAATTATGGTCCCACAGTCTTCCAGAAGTATGGGATTATAAGTTAAGGAAGTTACTTTAGTCCATATGATTACCATATTCAGCTTATCTAACCATTGCTTAGCCATGCTGGGCCGCTATGATGTCGACAGCTCGAATTGTGACTCTGATTCGGGTGGCTCTGATTCCTCCGGGGGGGCAAAGTCTAGTTCTGGCAGCAGTTCATCATCATCGCGCTCTAGTTCTCCAGCCGATGTGGTCGACAAAATGAGATGTTTGACTTTGAACAACCTTTTGTGCATGGATACAGCTGCTGATGAAGATCAATCTCAAGCTGCTGCCAATGGGAAGAGCAAAGATCGCATCATGCTAGCTTTCAAGAAACCGTGCTGCAAGCAACGGTGTAAGAGACATCTTACCTTCAAGATGATCTACACTTGCTGCATAACCTTTTGGAGCTTGAGCAAGAGTGGCCAAGACGCCTTGTTGCTTGACCAAATGTGGGTGCACCATTTTTACAAAGGCATGCCCCTTTCATTCTTAATACCACCCAGTAAAAACCCAATATATACCATTATGTCTATCAAGCCCAAGGCTTTGGAGCCTTCAAGCTGATGGTCGCCAAGCAGCTGATGATCAAGATTGTGAGGACAGCTCTGGATCCAGCAGTGGCAGCAATTCCTCACGAGCAAAGTGGTTCATCGAAGGCCTGCTTTTGAAAGCCGGGCTGGTATATAAAGACTTTTTTCCCTAAGAGGGTTCACTCTGAATCTGCAGTTATTTTTGGACAAACTCCTCACCCTGTCAGGGCAAGCTGTGTGTCGCACTGCATTTCTGCAGCTCTTGGGCATTGGACGCGCAAGATTGCTCAGAACCAAACGTGCTTTCCGGGGGGAAGATGCCAGGAAATATGGATTCTTGGATTTGTTTGGAAGCGCCCATAGTTAATCCACCAATTGGTTGTTGACCCTGCCAGCTTTTATGGAAGCGTTCTCCCCGACACCCATTCCATATTCCTTCAAACTTCCAGCTTTCCTATCAAGGAGCTGGAGCTAGCTGCGGTCAAGTTTCTGCATCCGTGCTCAGATTTCTGCAGCACACATATTGGAGCATAGCGGAGACTTTACCTCATGAGCCGATCAGCTGATTTGGTAACAGTAATGTTTTTCCTTAGTGGGGATATTCCTTAGTGTGCAATGTGTTACCTTTGTATATAGGGGTTTCTGGTCTGATGTCTTTCTATCATAAAAACCCTTCTTATGCCAGGATGGAAGTGGGGAAAGCTGACTTCACAACTGAAGATGGCCGTGAAGTCTTGATTGATGCATTGATCAACTCTGCTCTTTGCTCTGCCCCTGGGATGATGGAGACTGACCCTTGCGATTTACCTCGGAGGTACCTGCCGCCTGGAAATTTCAGCGATCTCTACAGACTCTACACTGCTTCTTGCCATTCTGTCAATGAACCAGCTGCTAGCTGCTCCACATTTTTTAGAGTTCTGAAAACGTCAGGGTGGAGGAAAAAGTTGAGGCACCGTGGGAAGACCACCCATGCCAAGTGCTCAACATGTCACAAGCTCAAGAACAAGATCAGGAAGGCCAAAAGTTTGCAAGAACATGCTGCTGCTGCAGATGACTATTTGAGGCATTTAGCTGGTCAATGTGCAGATCGGAGGTGTTACTGGGAGTTTAGACACCGGGCCACCATTCAGCAGGACCTCATAGTTGCAATCCAGGATTCCATGGATAAGAGCAAATTCAGCATCCCCAGGTATGCTGATGGTATTTGCCCAAAAGCTTTGGAGCAGAAGGTTCGCCCCCAGTGTGAAGTGACAGCGTGTATCGTACATGGACGAGGCATTTTCATTTATGTGGCTGACCCCGACTTGTCGTTTGGGTCTGATTGGAGTATCGAAGTGTTCAGCCGCAGCCTTCAAACATCATGGGAATTGGGGCAACAGTCAGGGAAACCTTGGCCAAGGACCTGCAAATTGTTTTCAGACAACACCCCGAAGGAGAGATTGGATGGTCTGAATTTATGCTTTTGTTGGTGGGTCTGGTTGTTCATAGCGCCTGAATGGTTATTCATGGCTTGCACCACCCTGAAAGGAAATCAAGAACTCCTTGTTCGACCGCTTTTGCTGTTCTTTAACAGCATGTCAATGCTTTGACAGCGTGGCCCATGAACATTTAGAAGTTGGACACACTCACGAGGATGTAGGTCACAGTCTCAGTATCTTCATCCAATGCAATCCGATGTATGTCCATTGAAATGTTATGTGATTTCTGGATCATCTTGCTTCACCTTGCATCATCTTGCATCCAAGATGCTCTTTTTGGCCTCATATCTCGCCTCATCCGAGAAGGAGATGAAGACATGTTTTCATCTTAGTTTTGCATGGACCACTATGAAATTGTGCAGCCACATGCACAAGAACTCATGTTGAACACAACCACTCTGTGCGCCGTCTGTCAGGCAGTCTCCACAAGATATCGTATGGCAACCTGTTTGCACTGGATGACTTGATGTCACACCCACAAGTCATACATGTCAGTGTCCACTTGCTGAAACCTGATGCGTTCACACTATTTCCAACATGTCTGGACCCACTCGAGGTTTTTGAATTCAAAGCTGAAGGAGCACTTCAACAAGAAAAACTTGTTTTTCCAGGCTAGCTATGTGACTGTCATCCGGGATTGGACTGGCAACATGATCAACTTCGCGACCACGAGTGGTGCCTACAGGAAGCGTGCCAAAGATCCACTGGAAATTCCTCATTCCTTTACATTCGTGAGAAGGGATTGCCATTTGCATGCAAACTGTAAACAAGTGGTCCTACTTGGCTTTTGATTGCAACTTTGAGCCATCACTTGTTTTTGGAAAATCCCCCATCCAAGCTCAGTTCTACTCTGTCTGAGGCATACCGCAACAACTGGTGGACCAGGCTAGCAATGCTCTGCCCCGGCGGTATGATCCAGATGACAGCGATGTCTTTCTCTTGATCAAGGGCTATGTAAGTGACCGCAGGTGTTCCCAGGCGCCTTTAATTGTATGGCCTGGATGCAAAGCTCAGGAGACCTTTACCTCCCTTTGCAGCATCGCTAGAAATGAAGCCAACAGATACTTGGACCTAACTTGGGTTCAGCTAAGCGCCAACCATGACACATGACCTTGCTCTCAATATGTTGCATCCTCCTACACATGGTTTTAGGCCAAGTGTCCAGCTTTCGTTTCTGAGGTCTTGCATGCTCCTTAGATGATGATCGCAAGGAAGTTCTGCGAGAGATCGCTGAATACCTCAACGACAACTACCAGCAGTATGCAAGGGGGGCACTATCTTTTGCAGCTTGCAGGGGATTGTGCAGTGGAGCGAAAACCGCCTCCACATCTAAGCTTTATTGAAAATTCAAACTTTGGGGTACAGCGTGGGGGTGTGGTTCTACATGAGCCACAGCCACATGTGATGCACACAATGATTGTCAGGTTTCACCGGCAGTAGTTGACTTGGGGTATCTTGGGGTCCAGAAACACAGACACTCGGCTCTTCCGCACTGTACCAACCACACTGTGCCAAAACATTGAGAGTTGATCCTCACCAAACAGTACCAAATGAAACCAAGTTGGAATGAGCAGGGAGCCGCAGGGAACTATTGACTGTATCAAGCGCAGCAGTTTTGGGATCACACACTGGTGCCATTACTAGCTGGCATCATGGTGCTTCAGCATGTGAAGCAGGAAGCCCCTGAACCTGCTGTACCCTGGTTGGAAAACACCACTCAGTATTTTGCCTATTGTGCAAACTGTTTTTCAGATGCATGATCACAGCCCAATCTTGCAGCAGTTTGCCGCAAAGCTACCAAGGAGGATGAGACTGACACTGTCACCAAGCCGACTGGATCAATTGCAGATCGCCTCACTGCCCGGATGGAGGAGGCTTCGTGGCTGCTCTGACCAGGTTGTGATTTTAACCATTGGTAATTTATGTTCCTGTTCAACACTATCTTTTTGATTCTGGACTCCCTGATCAGATATGCTCGGAGTTCAACATGGGACGGTGGCTGTGGTCTCAACTTGGATCTGAAGATGGAAAGAAGAGCTTCATCATGGCACCCAGGTTTATCACTCAACCGTGTCATATATCACAATGATTTGTTGAAATTCATTCACTGGGGCTGTAAGGCAATGTCTAGCACCTTCAACTTCAACTCTGTGGCGGAAATGGTGGCTATGAATGCTCAGCCCATCATTCAATCGATCCCCCAATCTTCGAAGGAGTTCTACCTGTCTCCATGGAGCTTTGATTTTTCTGAGAAGTCCAAGTATGGCGAGAACGGTCGCTTCCCCACGAACCTCCAGTACAAGGCCCACTTCCAATCCTTCCTCCGCTCAGGATATGAGGCAAGCCGCGAGCCCATTGATGTGCGCTTCAGGGAAGGAGGCGATGGCACCATTGAGCCTTTCAGCGTGCAGTTTGTGGACGGGCAGAACAAGATGCTCATCATCCAAAGCATCTTGGCCCTTGTAGAGCTGTGCGATGCTTGGATTGAATCGAGGGATCAGTTTCAGGGTGGGTTGGATTTGATATGGATTATGCCAGTTAATGAGATGTGAGATATGAGATATGGATTATGGACCATGCCATACCTCATCATACCTCACAGTTCTCTGGCCTTGTGAGGGTCCCCAGTCTGGATAAAACGTTTGGGAGCTGACCCAGCAAAAATGGCCAACCATATATAGTTTGTCATCCCTGTTATCTGTAGACCTTGCGTATGCGTGGTCACAATGGATTAATATCTTGATACTCGAACATACTCGAACATCGCTTTTGTCACCTTACACAACATCCCCTTTCTTCTAGAACCCAGCAGTGCTGTCATTTTCACCCATAGCATGAATTAAACCATATTAAACCTATGGAGCTGACCAGACCCCTGTTCACATCCAATACCAAGATGGTAACTAAGTAGTTTCTACTAGCCATGATCAACCGGCGTGTACTCTAATAAAGACATAAACAACATTCAACTAAGGACATCAAGGAGGCTGATGTGGATGCTGACAAGGACTTTGCAAGGGTCTTGGCATCTTTCCGGCATGTGAAGTGCAACTTTAAGAAGCACCAACGAGCAGAACAGTACATCTATGAGTCCCTGAGTCACCTGTCAAAACTTATCGCGTGTCATTCATATAACTTATTGGTTCCAAAGGAGTCCAAACTATTATACAATCGTGTCAACATGGATATCGAATCTCTAATTGGGATCGAATCTCTATTTGATATCGAATCTCTGCTTTGATGGGCCCAGCCAAGGCCTGGCAAACCGGAGATCTGAGAAAGTCAAGCCTTCCTGCTTGGACTATGTGCTGATCTTCCGAGAAGCAGCCAGGATCAAGCGCGAGAGCAACCCACACATGAGCCTGAGGGATTGTGTCTGGGGACCTGTGGCCGAGTACAACAAGACTGTGCCCAAGGATTGGGTACGCGGGTGAATTCAATATATTATCATACTATAGTAAATTGTTTCAGAGAATTCAGTTCAGTTTATATATACCAATCAACTTGATCTAGGTTGGGGTTGCTAGCGGTTTGCTGATCTTTGCTACTGAACAACCCTGAGAACTGGAGAGTCAAGGATGATGTCCGTCGTCTTACCTACAACCTCCTGAGATGTCCTTCTGAACTTCTGGATATCATTGGACTGATGTGTGAGAACACCAAGCCAGAGTATGCAGGTGGTGATGTGTTAAACTCACCTTCCGATGTGCTAAGTGGCAGAATCCTGCTACCATTCTCCCTGTTGGGAACATGTTGAACATGTTTGTTCTTTTCTCAACCCAATGCAGTTTGCATTGTTAGATTTGTTGCTTTGCCTGACTGCCTGATCCCTACTGATCTCTCACAATCGTGTCCCTGCAGCTATGTGCATCGAGAACATGGACGGGGACTACTACATTCCTGGAACCATCCCCGATGGAGCTGAGGGTGTGTGGAAAGAGGCTCAGGCCAGTGAAGTCCAAAATGTTAAATCTGGTTCATATCTCATGAGATTTCAATCACCTCTGTTCCATCATCTTCCATCCCCACAGGAATCAACCGAAGATGCAGTGCTTTTGTGGGCACATCGCGTGATGTCCGACTTCAACCGCAAGGCCCCCAAGACAGCAACCGCAAAGCAAAAGGCTGGGACTGCAAATGGATGTGCCCAAAGGACTAAGATAAACCCAAATTTCTAGTGGGGGATCTTGTACATCTGTGTTGGGAACTGTTCAGAAACCCTGGTCAGAAACTGGCCCAGCGAGATGCAGCAGCCCTTCAAGATCTGTTCCACCTGTCCTGCTTCATGAACTGGTTAAAGCCAAAGATGGAGATCCAGCTTGGCAAGGCTGGTGAAGTCTTCAACAAGATCTTGGAGATGTGGAATCTTGGGAACCTTGGATGCCAAAGCCAGTGGTGCCTGAAGAAATTCCACAACATTCTGAGCTCTGGTTCTGAAGCATGCCCCAGTAGTGTGGTTTTCAAAAACCGCGTCATGATTCTTTCATGGATGGACCTGCCTGACTTTTTGATAGGGTCTCCAAGAATGACACCAGGTTTTCTGCCACCTCCAAAATCAAACAAATCGTGTTGTGGTTTTTGAAATCCGCACTACTCGACCCCCTTTACAACCAGTATATCCAAAATGTAGTCTTTTCTTTTGATTTACTCCAAACTTCCCCAAAGGGACAGGGTTGGAAAACCATATACTTCAGGGAACTGCCTCAAAAACCACATGCTTCAGGGATACTGGCTAAAAAAAAA